CATGCATGAATCAAAACCTCTGATTTCAACAATGTTTCATTGCAGGCTGGCTGCAGTCCTGCTCCTCAAAGGCTGGACTGTATTAGCTCAGCATCTTGGCCCCACACATGTCCAACTTTCCCTCTCCTCAGTTTTACTCAGTTGTTTCCTACAGCTAACACCTACAATTTTCAAAAGCAGGTAGTCTCAGTTGCTTATAAGTAATTCTTCTAATTGACAGATCTTTAGATTCTATGCTTGACATATTTGCTCCTGAAAAACCCTTGGCAAACCTCAGGTAAGGAGGTTTCTAATGCTTTCAGCTTCAAGAATGGCCTGTCTGCAGCCTGCTCATGATAAGGGGCTGTGAAACTGCGATAGCATGCTTCCCCAGACAATTGCCATTCTGACCACTACTCCATGTGTCACTGAGCCTTTCTGTTCACAGAGCTTATCAGGGTTGTGGTTTCCTTCATACTGGGTCTGTGCTGACGTGAATTCAAGGACTGATTGATAACTGGTACTGTTATCAGTATATGAATGGATATATGTGGCCACCCTCATCAGGTTGCTGATCTCATTTGTTAATTTTCTGAACAGAAATGGTAATTGAGTTACCTTTGCCAGAGAAAGTTAAACAAATAGGAAAAGGTTATTTGTAATATTGAAGTATAAACAGAAGTAGCAAAAGGCCATTATGCAGTAATGTTGCAGCTAAGGAAACAGTTATGAGTCAGATGAATTAATATTTTGTTTCAATAACATCAGTTGTGTTGAATAAAGAAGCAAAAAACGGTAGATAAAAAACACGTACATGGCCAAGGAAACATACATATCCAAACTTAAAGTAAAACACAGCACAGTTTATGCTGAAACAAACTGTAAACTATTCTTCAGAGAACAAATAACTGGCACCTGAAACTGTGATACTACAAAGAACTAAAATCTTAAAACATACATAAGCCAAGAATAGTGTTCTCGGACAGAAGAAAGAAAAATACAAATCTTTTATTTAAGAAAAAAAAACAACAAAAACTTTGATAATATGCAGGACTTCAGAATGATTGAAAGAAAGAGTAAATAATTGCTGGAAGTACCTGAACTACTGTATAACCAAGATGTTATAATTGCAATATAATCAAAAGAGTAAGGCAAAAGCAAACAAGGATCACAAAAGAGAATAAGTAGAAGAGCTTACCCTTGGGTTGAGCTCACTAGAAGATACCAAAAGAGGAGGATCTCCAGAAGAGATCCTTCCCCTCTGCTAGCCAGCTCTTAAATAGGTCCAGGAGGGGTGCAGCCTGGCTCCACCCCTTCCGGCAGCACAGGTGAATTGCCTTCACCTGTGCTCCTCTGGCTGACTCAAGGCTCACCTCAGGTGATTAATCAGAGGTTCAGGCCGTGACTCAGCAGTTCCCATACAGCTACAAAAGATTCAGTACAATCTAACTTGAAAATATAATTGGAATTCTAAACTCTGTGACTGCTGTACACTATTTTGAGACCTCTTGGGGAGATACTCATAAAGACAAAAGAATTCAGGAGGCAGGATAAAATACTTTTGAAGTAAGCAAAGGATTTCATAATTAGAGCAATCAGTCTACTGAAAAGAGAAATCGGAGATGATAGAGAGGTTGCACCTAGATTTTCATATTATTATTTTTTAGAGACATCTAACACGTGTGTGGAGTTTATTTGTTTTGTGTTGTTTTTTTGTTGCTTTTTCCTTGAATTACATATGTAAATTTACAGCATCAGCAGGAAAAAAATGGTAGACAATGCTAACAAATAGTAGAAAAATGCTAACAAAATTTGCTGATGGCAGAATCTGAGAAGCACTGTCAACATAAAGGTGGAACTGGAATGTCACACAGTGGTGTCCAACATTGATAAATGAAGTAATAAAAATGGGAAAGATGTAATAGGAAATGCAGAGTCATGCCCCTGGAGACTAATGAGAACATCTGTTAAACAGTAGCATGTTGTAAGGTAGGAATGATGGAGAGAGGGAAATTCAGTGCTTAGTATTCAGCGTTTGACTGTTTTTGAGTCACAATTGTGATATGGATGAGGAAAGGGTGTGTGCAAAGCTGGGCAGTGAAAGGGAAGTTTTAACGTTGCTGTACAAAACATTGGTCAGACCTTTGGAGGATTGCTTAAAATTCTGTCCACCACCCTTGAGAAGAGATCAGTTTCCAACCAGAACTGATGAAGAAAGTATGTACTAGAATAAAAAGAGGATGGAATGCTCATCTCCTGGGACAATACTAAAAGAACTTTCTTATCATAGAAAAACAAAGACTGAAAGTAGATACAATGTATTTTCTGTACTCTGAGGAGGGGATAAGGACTAGAAAGGAAAGAGCTTTTGAAGCTTAAAGGACAGAACTGATTTAAAAGCAAATGAATATAAACATGCTGTAGGTAAAGTGATTGTAAATGTAAAGGCCCTTTGGAGAGGAGAAGGGATACAAAAGTGCTTGGAAAATTACATTTGAAAGAAATGACCAATGGTTTCAGTTAGATTATATGATATGCTTGTGATTGCACAGGAGTGTCGTCAGTGGGTCGTCAGGCCCAAGAAGTCTTTAATGCCTGTGTGCCTCTGTACCCAAGTGATATAAATTGGTGTGAAGCCCCTTAAGCTTTTCTGTACTAATTAACCGTGCTTCAATACTACTTACCTCTCAGCAAATCAGCACTGCATTTTAGGTAATTAAGTTTAGCACATCTCCCTGCAGTGAGTACAGGCTTCTGGGAATCTTTCCTGAGGACATCTTTTCCATAAATTTTGAAGCTATTTTTGAAAAAACATCTTTCTTCAATATGCATGAATATCTGAAAAGGAACATAAGTGCGTATTCAGAGTGGCTCACCTCTCCTAGTGTGTATGGCAGAAATAATTCTGCTGTAATATCAGTATAGATGATAAATGCTAAAAATAGTCTGAAGAGTTTCACTGTAACTGTAATTACTTTCAATCTCATGTTTATTATGGGCTGCACAAATGACTTATAGTGACAATTTGTTACTCGTTCTTCAAAGTGGTATTTCTAATTGTGTTTTGGGGTTATTTTCACTACAGTTGTACTTGCCAAGAAAAAACATTTTAAAGTAATGTTGCTTTTTATTTGAGAAATCTAGTACTTCCTTAGAAGAAGAGAGAAAGATGAGTTTAATACAAAAGGGAGCTGACTCACAAACCATGAAAAACATGTTTTATTTGTGCTTCCCCTAAAAATCCTGCCACAAGGCACAGATTGCACCTGATTGTTGCATTTCACATGAGAAAGAGAATGCTGCAATTCTGCCTCACAGAACAGAATGATCAGTACAAGCTGTAGATGTAGCAAATAACTGTTTCACACATACAAGGTCTGTGACATGAAATCATCTTTTCTTCCTGTACTAAGCAAAGACAGAAGAATGAGGAATAGGGATAAGTCTCTGGGTCCTTTTCTAGATGACCCCACCTGATGCAGGAGACATGCTGCATGGACATTGCTTTAGCTCAATACTTATTTTCCTGATTTGCACCAGTAAACACTGCCTTCTATTTCAGGTTACCTCCGAGTAGTTCTGCATATCACTGTGGAGTAAATGGTGAATATTACATTAAACCTTGTGTTCTATATCTTCCTTACTGCAAAACATAAGGAAAAAAGTAGCTGTGAAGACAATAAGACTGCAAGGAGGAGGAGACAAGTGGAAGGTAAGGCATGATCTGCTGTGGAACTGAGGATGAGGTAGCCAATTTGACACATGGAAAAATAAATTTAGATTAGAATCACACAACATTAACATGCGAGCTTAGTCAAGCAAGAAGAAAAGCCTGCTGGTTTTCTAGAATATTGTAATTCAGTTGCTAACAGTGAAAATGCACAAATTAGGGACATTGTGATTTCCTGAAAATGTCTGGCTCATTGAAAGCAGGGCCTGAACAAAACAGTGTGCCTGCAGATTTTAAAAACTCTGCCTTTAGAAATGGGAAAGAATTACAAGACTTTACTTTGGAAAGGCATGCTGACAGCTGTAAGAAGCCAATGTTAACAGTACCATTAAAATCAGTGTAACTGACTGTGCGAGTAGGGCAATCGGGCTTTGGTCCCATACTCTTGCTTTGTAAACATCAGCATCCCTTAGATGAATATAATACCAACTAGTGAATGACATGTTAAAGCCTTAGTAAAATTAACTGTGTCTGAAAGGCTGTTCCTTTAAAATGGAAAGCAAATGGCTCAAATGAAATGTGGGATGCAGGAGGAGAGGAAATCAATAAACCAACAAACTGTCGATGATGTGGAAATAATTTCTTTATGTTTTCCTGTTTCTGTAGTTTATAGTTAGCACTAGTACATCAACTTAACAGCTTTGTGCAAGTGAAGAAAACTAAATCCAAACTCAGAAACTGCTGTGGTGAGTTCCCTTTTCTTCAATGAATTCTCCTGCCTTCTATGAAACATAAGATTTTTTACTTATTTATTTACTTATTTATTTATTTTAGCAAGAACTACGTAAAAGTTGGTTGCTGTTTGAATTTTATTATTTTGTTGGCTTTTTTGTTGTTGTTATTTTCTGCATGATGTTCATCTCACTTTATTACCAGAGAGATTCCAAAACTGAATTTCAGTGTTCCTGGTGAATTTCCATTCAGCATTTCTATTTGTAGAGAAGAGAAAGATTTTAAAAATATGTACCCAAAGTCATTCACATACATCAGATTGTTCGGGCTACTTATATGTACTTTATGTCACCTTGAATTTATATTTCAGGACATAAAGATAGGATAGGATAGGATAGGATAGGATAGGATAGGATAGGATAGGATAGGATAGGATAG